ACATTTGTAGTAACCCTAATTGGTTGTTATAATATCCTATCCCAAAATTAAATTGAAAAAACTAGAATTTAAAAAAAAAAATTATATTTTTACATCATATTTAAGGGTGGGCACTTGCCCCCTTTCTCCCATAACTGGATCCGCCTCTGGCAAAAATGACACGTGTCAAACAGACAGTAATTCGCTACACTGTGTAGCGAATTATGCTCGGATTACTGCCTGCTTGACACGTGTCATTACTGCTGACTGTGCAGTCTGACATGACATATTTTGCTACACTGTGTAGCGAATTATTTGTAAGCATAATTCGATGCACAATGTAGCGAATTATGCCGCGTGGCATTCCGAAAATTTTTACTGTTAACGTGGCAGTCTGATAAATAATTTGATAAAAAGTAGCAAAATGATCACTGTTTCCGCATAAGTTAAGTTATTGTAATTTGTAATCCATTGGATGCAAAGCTATAGAGATTTCTCAAAGGTGAGCTCGTCTCTATAGTGATCATGTGTATCAATGAAGGGTTGCAAGAGGATTGATTTATTACTCTTTCTCATACCGGCTAGTTGGCCACGTTGTGTAGATGCAAGAAAAGTTTCAACTATTCCAAGATACTCATTCAAATCTGTCGTCTCCGCTTTACGATTATAAAATTTTTTCTATCAAGTATTAATTTGGCTTAATTTCTTATGAATTCTCTCGATTTTTCTTTTTATGCTTAACGGTCAAATGTCAAAAAATCATCTCTACATATATGAAAAACTCATATCTCATTTACAAAAAAAAAAAAAAAACTCATATCTCGGGATAAAATATGTTCCAATGTGCGTGCATCATTTTTAAAGGGTAGCTTAATGTTGAATTTTACACCATCTTCGTGAATCATCGCAACAAATAAAGTCAAAAAATGAGGACAGTAAGTCAGTAACATTCTTCAAGAATCATGTATCAAAAAAAAAAAAAAACAAATTCTTCAAGAATCATCGTTGTCGTAGCATAGTCTCATATGATGTATTTACATACAAACATCGAAGTTTGTAATGCAATAGCACCAATTTTCAAAATCTCAAACGACACTGTTCTCAATTTAATGCATGCTACGTCAGCATTTCATAGACGGAACTGTAGCTTGCACTGACAAATCTCGGACGTTAGTTCTTTTTACATTAAAATCCAAATTTATCTTGCTCTCCAAAAATTTTAAAGTATTTTAAAAGTAATAAACTAATTCAATCAAATTATAACACGTGTTATAAAAATTGAATTTATGCTGTGAAATTGATTTTATTTTTTTATAACAAAATTTAAATAGTTAATTATATTATTTATTTATATTTTTCTTTAGAAATTTCTACACCGATTTATTGATTAATCCAGTTGAGTCGGTTACCAAATTTTTAACATAATTACGTATTTAAAATTTGAATCCGAGACCACCCATTAAACTAGAACAACCCTGTACAGCAAATCCACTTATTAAGCTAAAATATTTTATTCTTATAATCCGTAAGAGTTTCACCTTCTTTCTCAGCCCCTCTTAACAAAATATTCAAACCTTCCCCCCTTATTTATTTAGAGCTATATCCTTCAAATCTTCAAAAAAAAAAAGAGCTATATCATTCTCAAACTCCCCTACCCTCTAATTATTATGGTATATGAGACATTTCTCCATTACATGTAGCTGCCATTGAAACCCCAAATCATTTCATAGAACACTTTGAAAGCTGATAGGAAACTAAGCCAATGCTGAACGGATACCTACCCACCACACCGATTCATATCTGGTCAATGATGTGTGGTGTTTTGATGACATGAAATCCTCTAACTCTATATGTGTCATTTTGTTCCACAGTAGTCTCTGGCTGATTCCAATAGAAGCACTTGTCTAACCGTCTCCACTCTCATATTGGATACGATTTCCATCGTTTTGTTACTATATGGTAATTGATTCCCCAAAAAAGCTGCCCTTTGATATATAGAACTTTTGTCACACTAGCTGATCCAATCTCAATTGCAAGTACCTCTATTTTGTTTTCTAATGTCCTGTTTTTTTCTTTTCATTTTTCTCCTCTCTCTCTTTTTTTTTTTTAATTGCCCCCTCTTTTAACTTTGCCCCCCCACTTTTTCATGAATTACTTGGACTATCCTGAATTTATTCAATTTCCAAGATATTTTGTCGACAAGCTAAGGAGGAGGAGAAAAATGGGGTAATTGGTAGAAGGTAACTAGAAACATAGCATAGTGGACCTGTCTTTTGTAGTTACTTGTGCTTTTGCCTTTCATAATTTGCATCATCTTCTTAATGCAGTTTCCCCTAAAGTGGTTGAAGGGCCTCTCACAAACCGACACAAACTTGAGGGTGTGAAAGTGGGGGTGAATGAGCACTAAAACACAATGTTGACAAATAAGAAAAATCTGTTACTGTAAGACTTTTCAAAATATATCTTTTGTTTTTTGAGTAATATATTCTACTATTCACTCATTTAATACATATTATAATGAAAATAGTCAAATTTGTTGATATTTATATGATCTAAATGTTACTTAAAGAGTATCTAAAGTGTATTATATGGAACTCATCCCTTCTAAGATAAGTCAAGAGTGCAAAACGTAGGAACAGTTATCAAAGTGTCACTGTTGGTCAAAAAAATTACCAGATTGTCACGTCAACAGTAAATTTTGCCAAAATACCACGTGTCATAATTCGCTACACTGTGTAGCGAATCATGTGTGCACATAATTCGCTACACAGTGTAGCGAAATATGCCACGTCAGACTGCTCAGAACCAAAAATGCCATGTGTCAAAATTGAAGAAATTCGCTACATAGGGTAGCGAATTTCTACAATTTTGACACGTGGCATTTTTAGTTCTGACGTGACATATTTCGCTACACTGTGTAGCGAATTTTTTGCACACATATTTCACTACACAGTGTAGCGAAATATGACACGTGACATTTTGACAAAATTTACTGTTGGCATGGCAGTGTGGTAATTTTTTTGGCCAACAGTGACAAAATGGTCACTGTTCCGCAAAACGTAGTAACATTTTAACATAAATCCGAATATTTCTTTAGTTTGGTACGAGGGTTTTTTCAGGATTTTCAGAAAACTGAATTTTTCTAAATTTAAATTTTTCGAATATTTTCGTAAACTGAATGTAAAAATTATATTTTTGAAAATTGAAATTTCCGGACAAAATTTTTTTTTTCCTCTACCAAACGCACACTGAGATGATATAACTTTTACTCCGGAGTACGGTAGAATTTTTTTTGATAAAGCATAAGACTCATCCTTTAGTCCATTGAGGAGGGTGACATTAGCATTACTCTCAGCAAGAAAAGCCCAAAAGGCATTGGGAAACGCTTTTCTGGCTCCAAGATAAAGGACTAATGCCATAAGAATTTGGACCATTACTTAAATAATTCGAAAATTTTCAACAAAAATAAAAAGAAAAGGAAAAAGAAAAATAAAAAGTTTAGCTGAAAATTTCAAAATTGCCAATCACTTCTGAATGATTAGCTTATGCTCAATATGTGATTAGAAACTAAACATACAGTCGGTACCGTTTGGATAAATACAATTTCGTACTTGAAATATTGTTAGTTATATTTCTATATTTGTAAATTTATTTAATTATTTTCCACGGGATAGCAACCATTCTGAAAATGTCTCGCATATATAGCAATCCTCTCTGTAGTGTATGCGTTTTGTAATTATATAAAAATAATTTCAAACAATTATTAAAATAAGAACTTTCAAAAGAATACATTTTATATTTAAGAATGTCCATCCAATTTATTTATTTATTTTTTGCCAGAATTCGTTTGATTAATCAAAATTAACGTGAAATTATCAAAATAAAAAAAAAATTTGGTTTGTATAATTTTTTGTTATAGTTAAAATAAACTTAAAAATCCTATAATTAATTTTAGTCGGATTAAATCCTCTATATAAATCACAAATCACAAAAATAAGCTAATAAAAATGAATCAATAGTAAGAGTATTGTGGAAGTTATATTGCTTAAAATATATTTCAACATTTTAAAAAATATATATATTTTAAGCAGTATAAAGCCTTAATTTTAGAACCCACCCTTAATCAGATCAGTCACGAAGTGATGAACCGATTGAAATATCTCCAAAAATATATATTTCAACATTTTTCCTTTATCTTTGTCACTTATTTCACAAGAATTGTTGTGAAGAATAGGTTATACTTATCACATTTTTTTCTTATTACCATTTATAATTATTTTTTTATGATTGAATTAAAATTAAATCAATGGGTCTCACTCGATGACATTTTCTAACCAATAATTTGATTTTGATCCAACAATAACAAGCATAATTATAAGAGGTGGTACGGTAAAAAAAAATATAAGTATAACATTCTATGTAATGATACTAATCTTTTTTTCTTTATATACAAATCATAATTACTTCTTCGAGGCGAGTCGGTTTCCGATATCCTCATAAGCTTCAATGATTTGATCTGACTATGAGACTAATTCCAAATCGGAACTTAGTCACAGTTAAAGTTTTTCACCCTCGCCAAATACGTATTGAGTGAGAATCAAACTCGGATTTTTTCTCCCTATTTTACTCGATCTGTATTGCCATATGAACTACACTACGGAGTGATACTAATCTTTAAGATCAAGAAACTCTCTAAGACAATTATTTTCTTTGAATTGTGAACTTTGTCCTTTCCTTTCAAGAGTGTAGCTCCATTACCACCCTAACTCATTTTTTTTTTTTGTGTAATTTGCATGAGCTGTGTGTGGATGAGAGAGAGACCTTATGCCTATATAATATTCCATGTTTTGTTCTCCGATTTCCCCAATAAACGGCCTTGGCTTTTCTTTCATCCTCTCTCTCAAACTTATATCATTCTCTATCTCTCACTCTCTTTCTCTGCTTTTCTTTGCATTATACCCTCTTTCAAACGTACCTTAATAGTATTACTACTACAAACTAGTTTTTGCATTGCTAATGCAATGGCCATAGAGTGCGTAACAAGTACAAAATCAATGCTTCAACCATCACCACCAAAGCACAACGAAGACAACAAAGAAGGTGAACCACCATTGGTTTTTGATGGTTCACTTCTAAGGCACAAACTCCATCTTCCAAAACAGTTCATTTGGCCAGATAAAGAGAAGCCATGCTTAAATGTTCCTGAACTTGTTGTTCCACTCATTGACTTGGGTGGTTTCCTCTCTGGTGACCCAGTTGCAGCAATGGAAGCTGCAAGGCTTGTTGGTGAGGCATGTCAGAAACATGGTTTCTTTCTGGTTGTGAATCATGGGATTGATGCAAATTTAATCTCTGATGCTCATAGTTGCATGGATGATTTCTTTGAGATTCCCCTGTCTCAGAAACAGAGGGCTCAGAGGAAACAAGGGGAACACTGTGGTTATGCTAGTAGCTTCACTGGCAGATTCTCCTCCAAGCTTCCATGGAAAGAGACACTTTCTTTTCAGTTCTCAGCTGAGAAAAACTCATCCTCTGTTGTCAAAGACTACTTGTGCAACACAATGGGCAAAGAGTTTGAGCAATTTGGGTAACCAAAACATCTAAACATTTTTATTTTATTTTTTTAAAAAATATACTCTGTACGGTGTTCTTGAAGTAACTTTACGGTTGCTCCTTGTGACGGAAAGGTATGGGTTCAAGTATGTGAAATAATTTTTTTTGTTAAAATATAAGGATAAGACTGCGTACAATCAACTATCACCTTTAACCTCCCGAGTTGGGGAGTCTTGTGCTGCCCTTTTGAGAAAGATATTCCGTCATGCTTCGTTTGCTTTTCTGATAAATTGTGTGTTTTCATTGTTAAACAGGAAGGTTTACCAGGACTACTGTGAAGCCATGAGCACTCTTTCTTTGGGGATAATGGAGCTTTTGGGAATGAGCCTTGGAGTTGGGAAAGAATGTTTTAGAGAGTTCTTTGAAGAAAACAGTTCAATAATGAGGCTCAATTACTACCCACCATGTCAAAAACCTGACCTCACTTTGGGCACTGGACCTCACTGTGATCCAACATCTTTAACCATTCTTCACCAGGACCAAGTTGGTGGCTTGCAAGTTTTTGTTGACAATGAGTGGCGTTCCATTAAACCAAATTTCAATGCTTTTGTTGTCAACATAGGTGACACCTTTATGGTAAGTTAATTCTGTCTTTCTTTCATGCACTTATTGTTTTGGTCACTGATTTCATGTATGATGATGTTATTAAACCTTGTTTCATTTTTCTAATTGTTTTTTAGGCTCTTTCAAATGGGATATACAAGAGTTGCTTGCATAGGGCAGTGGTGAACAGCAAGACAACAAGAAAATCTCTTGCTTTCTTTTTGTGTCCAAAAAGTGATAAGGTGGTTACTCCACCAAGTGGATTGGTGGATGATTTGACCCCAAGGATCTACCCAGATTTTACATGGCCTATGCTGCTTGAGTTTACTCAGAAACATTACAGAGCTGACATGAAAACTCTTGAGGCATTCACCAACTGGCTTCAACAGAAAAGGAGCTGAAATTTCAAGCACATGAATGGCATACTATTAGCCTTTGATAACTCCGAAGGAAAAGTGACAAATCTGGATGAAAGCAGATAAAGGAAAAGGGTAGGGAAGGTACTGAGAATGAAAATTAAAAGAAGAATCAGAGTTTCTTCATGTTTTGAGTGTGGCACACTAGTGTTGAGTAATGAACAAAGCAGGGAAGATAAAATAGTTATAAGGAATCAATAAGAAAAAAAATTCAGCCTAATTTTGTAATTTTTCTTTTATGATATATAGAAAGGTTATTGCATCTGCAATATTTTCTCTTTGCGTTTAACATGCATAACAACATATGATATGGTAAATCCAAGCAAATTTTCTCAATGGAATCCGAGCCTTTAAGAGAATAATGACCTTTAAAATTATAAAGAACTATTTCAATCCAAAAATTTAAGTTGTCCTGAGAGAGTAAGTTAATAATGAAACCTAAGTTTCTAAGAAATGCTGATATTACACTCACATTTTCCTCGTTTCTTCACCAAATTTTAGTATGTCTCGTATATCATTAAAAAGTAATAATGATAAAAGTAACCTTTAATTGTCACCGAGGGGAATCTGTATACTTTAGATTATGTAGATTTCTTTACCTTTAAATTACATTCTTAAATTTTTGTTATTTTTTAGTAGTACCAATCAAATTTTGATAAAAGTAACATTCCTTGTTTAGAATTTCAGAATTCTTGTTTTTTTTGTAAGGTCCAGTTGTTTGACTCATTTGAAGAAAATATAAATTAAGACCCAGTGAATCCTAATCAGCACGGAAATTAATTAAAATGATTCTTTGTTGCTACATCATAATTCACACCTCTCATGCATCAACCAATAATCTTTTCTTTATCTTGAAGGTCTTGGAACTATTTGAGAGTAAGGTTAAAAACCAGCAAATACATCCAACAAAACAAGTGGCCCACAATTTGAATGATTCAAAGGAATAGGGAGCTAAAATCCATTGAGGATTGGCAGAGATCTCTTTTGTAATTTATGCATATATATATTCTATAAATGCAAGCACTTGTTTTTTGGTTTTATTATTCTGATTTCTCATACCTGGAAATTTGGATGCTTGTGTAATTTAGAATACTCACTATAATCCTCCCGGCACCTGTCTTGAGATGCTGCAACATTCTTCTCGTGATATTTTAATCGGAACTCTTAAAATAAATAAAATGAAAATGTAAAAGCAAAACCTAGATGGTAAATGGAAAGACCTATCGAGTCCCCATATAAGTACAAGTTTCACTCGTACATAAGCAAAACCATTTGATTCATTGGCATACACAAGATATCTAAGAATGACAATATATTCTTTCCATGATATCCTTTTTACTATGATGCTCTCATTCCAAACACAAATATTCAAGATAATGTCATATCATACAAAAATGAAAATTACCATGAAGCAGAATTGCTTTGAAATTAGCTTTTTAGAAAGAAAAAAAAAAGTGACAAGTGAATTTACATGTTAACCCTTTACAAATCACATAAACACAAAATTACTCTAATTTTTTGTATTTGGATAGACTACTTGTATCCTCTACGGAAGAAAATTCTATTTGAGACGGATTTAAAATTAAACCTTTAAACCCTTAAAAAACAAAAAACAAATGGTTTAGGCTTTAATTTGGATAGACTACTTGTATCCTCTACGAAAGAAAATTCTATTTGAGACGGATTTAAAATTAAACCTTTAAATCCTTAAAAAAAACAAAAAACAAATGGTTTAGGCTTTAATTTTCTCTATTTATTTGTGTTTTGATTTTTGTTGATGGAAAGGCACAGCCGCCACAAGTAAGGACAATGACAGTCCCATTCCCGTACTCTCTTCCAAAAGGCCCGCATCACGTGGAAACCATCTGTTGTTTGTTCTGGCATCGCTTCTAATCCAACTCTATGAATTATGTTGTCATAATTTATGGAATAAAATAAACATTAAAAAAACACCAAACGTTTGTGTATGCTACACGACTATATATGCTCTCTTGAAAAACGACATTTCTTAGGATTTCTGTCACAGATACCTCCTTCACTCACCTATCTGTACTACTTTTGTTTTCTAGCTACTTTCATTGGGTTTTTTTTTTTTGTTCTTCAAGTTCTTCTTTTTCTTTACAAAATTACAATCTCATAAAACAATATGATACATTGGATTTTGGGTTTGGATCTCCTGAAACTTTCATTTCAGTCATAAATCTGTCTTAATGACTTTGATGGACTTGTCACAATATATGGAAAACCAAATTGTAGAGTACTTGATGGCGTTACTTTAAAAATGGATATGATCTTAAGCTTCCAAAGATTAAATAGTTAAAATCATATCTAAGCACATAAATTGGACTAGAGTTTGTAAGGTGAATTAGCATGGTGTAGAAGAGGAGGAAAATAAAGAGGTAAGTAAACTACTGAAGGAAAAAAAATATAACAGTGCAGGAAATTTATATTTCCGTGCTTGAAAATCATGTGCCTCTCTCTTGTATGACCAGAAAGGAGATGGAATTTAATTTTTTTTTTATTTGTACTTAAAGTGTCCTTCTGTGTTTATGGTGCTGTTCTTTAATAATATGATCATGTATTATCTTTTACAACTCAAATGTTAGAACTTTAAGAAAAACGAGATAATTAAAAATAAAATATATGTTTTCATAAGAAAATTCTAAAGAGTGAGAAACCAAAGTTACATATTATAAGATCCTTAGTTCCAATTTATAATACTAAGAGATATTAAGAGTCTCTTTGGATCCTATTTTTCTTAAGCTATGTTCCGGATGGCCCAACAATACAGCGGCCCAAAGGTCCAAGCCCAATCTCAACCCCCTATCCACGTCAGCTCTACCAGCTGTCAGCCCCCCAACCCCCAACGCAACGACACTCCCTAAGGGAAACACCAAAATGTCCCGTCTTGGGACCCCAACCCCCAAAGGTGACCGCCCCAAATACCATAAGAGAAAACTGCCATTTGTCGCATGCTGACATCGCCGAGCACAGGGGCGCATCGCTGCTATCATAGCAGCGCCTGCCACGCCCAATAGCGTCTACCACCCTAGCAGATCCCAAGGAGGGTTGACCCCCTCCTCACCAACCCACACAAAGTTCACATCACCTTCCCCTATAAATAAGCCCCCTGGGCACACTAAAAAGGTATCTTATGTATTGTTATTCTGCCCATTTACATTGAGTTACACATACACACACCTAACCCTATTGTTGATTGCTTGATTCAGACTTGGAACAGTGCCTCTTAGCTTGGTCTCTACCCGTGCTAAGGGTATCATCCATACAGTGACTCCATCCCCAAAGGGAACATAGTGGGCTTATAGATCCCAACGGTACATTGGCGCAGTCTGTGGGAAACTATAAACTTCTATTCCCATTTTCCTACCGAAGATCTACGAAAGGCATTTCATTTTCTGACAGTTAAACATGGCTGTTACGACAAGAACAGCAGAGCAGACTAGAGCCGTTACCCCTGAAGGTTATGTGCAAACGGTTCATTCCAACTCCCCACCGTCTATGCATTCAGCCCCTGTTGAACAAGCAGCCGGCGAGGCGCTCCCCCGGTGCTACAATCTGTGGACCCTCAGGTACCAGCAGCTGATGCTAGAGTAGCACAGCTAAATCGTCGCGTAGCCATACGCGAAGTCTAAGGAGAGAACTTAATCCCAACACAACCCCCACCGCCTGGAGTTCGTTTCGGAATGCCACTCCCCGCCACTGGCCCACAAACTATTCCATCAGCTTATCATCCACAACCGGCCCGAAGTCAGCCTGTGGCTCTATATAATGATCATCGAATCCCTGTGGTCGCCCCATATCCCCCCGGGCCTTACACACACAACGTGGCCGCCCCTTACCCCCTACCTTTTCCTACTGGTTTTCCATTTCACGGTAACGCAGTACCACCACATAATGCGGCGATTCCACAACCTCAACAATCATGTATGAATCCTGGCCTGCCACAACATGTCGTCCATCAAGCCCCAGCCCTCTCTTACTCTGTTGAAGCCCCACACGCACCTCGCCCACCACCAGACCAGCACGCGCACAACCCGAACTTACGTGTAACACCTGCTATACTTCAGGACGCAATAAACCCTTAACCGGTAGCCTACGCCTAACCCCCTTACCCCTTGGTTTCAAAGGCCCTTCCAATATCACTATGTATGTCGGTGACACTGATCCTTCTGAATGGATCCAAAAGTTCGAAGCAGCGATGACCCGCCATGGCGAGACTGATCTCCTCATGTGCAGGACTTTCCCTACGCTTCTGGGAGGGAGAGCGTTGACATGGTACACCACTTTGCCGACTAGTAGTATTGCGTCCAGGGATGACTTGGCAGGCAAGTTTCAAACTCATTTCGCAACCAGTCGCCCAGTGCCTAAATCTGTCCACTCTCTTGAAAAGATTCGCCAACAATCAGGGGATTCCCTTAGATCCTTTTTGGACCGCTTTGATAAAGAGGCTCTGCAGGTACAAGGTCTGGACCCTAAGGTGCAAGTGCATATACTCCTGTTGGGCTCGCGACAAGGAGCGTTCGCCTACGAGCTTGCTCGCCATGAAATTACCGACCTTGAAGAGGTCAAGAAAAATGCTCAAGAGTTTATGCGGATCGAAGAGTACATGGGAAGCCGAGTCGACGACACCCACAACCAAGAGAAAAGAGCCAGTAAAAGTAAGGACCACGTGGAAGAAGGAAGGAATGGTCACAAACCCTCTAAATATGTCAGTCGCCTTTTGGGGCGTGACACCTCAGGACGCCAATCGCACAGCGTCCTGCAAACTGAATACAAAGAAGAGCGCCAGAGTAACCCACGACACCAACAACCAACCAGAGAAAGCACCGTATACTGCAAATTTCACCGCAGCAACAGCCATAGTATTGAAGAATGCAGACACCTCAAAGATGAGATTGATGAGCTTATTAAAGGCGGGGCTCAAAGACGGGCGAGTGACGGGGCTCATACTGTCAGTTCTGGCAGACGACACCGCGAGCGTAGCAAGTCACCGGAAAGAAAAAGAACTAACCATTCAGGTTATCGACCCCGCCATGAACGTGACCGAAGAGAAGAATCTCCAAGAGACCGCAGAGTGCAAGCTAACCCAAGCAATAGAGGAAGACGAGAGGAAGATGAAGAAGACTCCGCTGTCATCAAGCACAGAGTGATAAGCATTATCTCAGACGGACTGAGCGGAGGCAGTGAAACAGCTAACGCCAGGAAGAAACATTTGAAACAATGTTTGGCGGTAGCTGGAAAAGTCATCAGCAAAGTGAAAGTTGATTCGGGTCTAGCCAAGCCTAAAATCGTGTGGGACTACAACGATTTAGGCGACGTCCTTCCCGAACATGATGACCCCATTGTCATTCAAGCAATAATAGCCAATTTTGGCGTTAATCGCGTGTTTGTTGATCACGGCAGTTCTGCTGACACTTTGTTTTTACCATGTTTCAGGGCGTTAGGGTTTACAGTCAATGACTTAACCCAAGTTGCAGGTGGACTCTCAGATTTCAATGCAACAGTCACTAAGCTGCTCGAAATGATAAACCTGCGTTTATCGATGGGAACGCCACCCGCTTCAAGGTCAACTGACATCCAATTCCTGGTGCTTGACACCCCATCAGCATACAACGCAATTCTTGGCAGAAGAATGTTCCCCGCATTCGAGGCGAGCGTATCACACCCGCACCTGGCGATGAAGTTTGTAGCCAGGGATAACAAAGTCGCAACGGTGAAGGGACCCCAAACGGTAGCCATGAGCTGCTACAATATATCCCTGAGACCAGCGACCAAAGTTACTTTCATAGATCAACCATCACCCAACAAATAACAGCCCACTTAATTGAAGGAAGCCCTAGCAGGAATGGGAAGGAGCACGACCAATGCTTCCTAGTAGAATTTGATGCAAGAGACGACCCTCGGGTGGAACATTTCAGACCCACTCTAGATGGAGCGTTGGAGCACGACGTCTTGGGCGATGTGGATCATCAAACAACAACCATCGGGGAGATCATTGACCCAGAAATGAAAAGAAAATTGATCAAACTGCTGCGAGACAACAAAGATCTGTTCGCTTGGAAACCATCAGACATGTTGGGCATCGACCCTGAAGTGTGCTGCCACTCTCCCAGAAAAAGAGAAAGTTTGGCCCCGATCGCCAGAAGGTCATTGATGAGGAAGTCAAAAGACTCCATGACGCCGACTTCATTAGGGAGATCAAGTACACCACTTGGTTGTCCAACCCGGTATTGGTAAAAAAGCCAAATGGAGCTTGGAGGATGTGTGTCGACTACACTGACCTGAACAACGTATGTCCTACGGATGCTTATCCTTTTCCCAGCATCGACCAATTGGTTGATAACATATCTGGTTTCAAAATGCTATCATTCATGGATGCCTACTCTGGTTACATTCAAATCCCACTGCTCCAGGAGGACCAAGATAAAACGACGTTCATCACCCAGAACGCCAATTATTGTTATACCATGATGCCCTTCGGATTGAAGATTGCCGGTGTATATATCAGCGAATGATGAATAAGGTGTTCAAAGATTTAATTGGCGATAGCATCGAAGTTTATATCGATGACATGATCGCCAAGTCGCGAATTCCAGAACAACACTTGTCGGATCTTCAAGGTGTGTTCGATAGGTTGAGGAAGTACAATATGCGGCTTAATCCTAGCAAATGTGTTTTTGGCGTACCCGCCGACAAGTTTTTAGGCTTCATGCTTACCGAGAGAGGCATTGAGGTCAACCCTGACAAATGCAAGGCGGTTATCAAAATGCGAAGCCCCCAAACGGTCAAAGATGTTCAACAATTGACGGGGAGGCTTGTGGCCGTCACCCGTTTTTTAGCAAATTCGACACATAAGTCTCTCCCCCTATTCGTCCTACTCAAAAAAGGAACTACCTTTCGCTGGTCCGAAGAATGTGAGAAAGCCTTTCAAGAGTTTAATAGAGCTCTCTCGTGCCCGCCAGTCCTCGCTAAGCCAAACAACGACGAGACGCTATATTTATACCACGCCGTAGGTGCCGAGGCTATTAGCGCAGCCTTAGTCAAAGAATCAAGAGAGGAAGGGCAGAAACCAGTCTACTTTATCAGCAAAGTTCTACAAGGGGCTGAACTTCGGTACCAACAGGTGGAAAAAGTTGCCTTCACACTTATCTTCGTCACACGAAGGTTAAGACCGTATTTCTAGTGCCATCCGATCACCGTCAGGACCAATCAGCCAATCCGCCAAGTTTTGCACAATCCTGACCTCGCTGGAAGAATGATGTCGTGGGCGATTGAGCTGTCGAAGTACCAAATCACTAATGAGCCTAGAACCGCCATTAAGGCTCAAGCCTTCACAGGTTTCGTAGCCGAAATGACGCACAATTCCTTGCCTGGTGACCAAATCGGCGAAACGCCGCTCCCGGCAATATGGAAGCTATATGTTGATGGCTCATCAAATGCCAAAGGCTCAGGGGCAAGAATGATAGTCGAAAATCCAGACGGTGTGGCTGTCGAGCATTCCTTATCCTTCGACTTCAATACCACAAATAACCAGGCAGAGTATGAGACCATGATAGCTGGCCTAATTCAAGCAAAGGAGATGGGAGCCCAGCACCTCAAAGTCTTCAGTGACTCTCAGTTGGTGACATTTCAGATCTCGGGTGAGTATCAAGCCAAAGGACCGCTGATCTGGAAGTACTTAGAGAGAGTCAAAGAGTTCATATAAACCTTCGAAAGCGTCAAAGTGGAGCACATCAGGCGAGCTGAAAACACCCGGGCAGATATCCTCGCCAAGTTAGCAAGTACCAAAAGCGTAGGTAACAATCGCTCTGTGATCCAGCATAATTTGCCTAACCCATGCATAGTTATAAGCATTTCAGACACGGCCGCCTAAGTTGCCGAAGAGACCTGGATCACACCTATTGTCAATTACTTATCTGAAGGCGTCCTACCTCTTAACCAAAAGGAAGCTAAGAAGGTAGTACGAAGAAGCGCCCATTTCTGCATAGTACAAGGACGATTGTATAAGAGAGGACTCTCGACTCCACTTCTGAAGTGTTTGAACCCCATCGACGTTCTGTATGTTTTAGAAGAAATCCACGAAGGAATCAACGGCCACCACATGGGCGGGCACTCGCTAGCAAAGAAAGCACTGAGAGCTGATTTTTATTGGCCGACCATAGAGCGCGACGCCCATGAGCACGTCAAAAAATGTGAAAAATTCCAGAGGTTCGTCGACGTACACAAAGCCCCGCCAGAAGAGCTGACGTCAATCACCTCACCATGGCCTTTCTACAAGTGAGGAATCGACATTCTAGGTCCTTTTCCCTTGGCGGTTGGCCGGGTCCAATGGTTGATTGTCGCCATAGACTACTTTACCAAGTGGGTATAGGCTGAACCTTTAGCCACCATTACATCCCATAAAGTGAGGAAGTTCTTTTGGAGAAGTATTGTCTACCGCTTCGGCATCCCTGGAGAGGTCATTACAGATAATGGTACCTAGTTCACCGACGCTAAGTTTCGTGAATTAATGGGGAATTTGCAGATCCGGCATCATTTTGCCGCAGTAGAACACCCCCAATCCAACGGTTTAGTGGAGTCGGCCAACAAAATGCTGGCTAAACGAATCAAGAAGAAATTGGAAGCACATAAAGGAGCGTGGGTCGACAATTTGGACAACGTCCTGTGGGGATACAGGACAACCGCCCAATCTTCCACTAGAGAGACGCCTTTCAGATTAACATACGGCACTGAAGCCATGATCCCCGTAGAAGTTGGTGAACCCTCTTGACAGAAAGATCACGTCGTCGAAGTCGCCAACAGTCAAAATCTTAAAGAAGCGTTAGATCTACTGGATGAGCTCAGAGAACATTCTGCTCAGTCTGACTGTCGTTCCAAGGAAATGTCAGCCACTTGCTACAATAAGAAAGTTGTCCCCCGAAAATTTGCAGAAAAAGATTTGGTTCTTAGACGAGCAGACGTTGGAAATAAAAACGCCCGCGAAGGAAAGCTCGCCCCAGACTGGGAAGGACCTTACCGGATGGAAAACAAGCTGGGAAAAGGAGCATACTCCTTCGAAACACTAGATGTAAAAGCAATCCCCAGGGCGTGGAACGCAGACAAGCTCAAGAAGTATTATAGTTAAACTACCATGTAACACTTCCTGCACTCTTTTCCTTTCCCAAGTTTTTGTCCTAATAGGTTTTACTGGGAAAGGTTTTTAACGAGGCATGATTCCACCTTTTCAATGAACATGATTGTCAATTTTTCACACTTAGTACAAGTTAAACGTCAATTAACGGGATGGTTCTCACCCCTGCCATGCGTTGGACTGGGACGATTCTCACCCCCCGCCAACGCCCAATTAACGGGATGGTTCTCACCCCTGCCATGCGTTGGACTGGGACAGTTCTCACCCCCAGCCAACGCCCAAGTAACGGGATGGTTCTCAACCCCGCCATGCGTTGGAATGGGACGGTTCTCACCCCCAGCCAACGCCCAGGTAACGGGATGGTTCTCACCCCCGCCATGCGTTGGACTGGGACGGTTCTCACCCCGAGCCAACGCCCAATTAACGGGATGGTTCTCACCCCCGCCATGCGTTGGACTGGTACGGTTCTCACCCCCAGCCAATGCCCAAGTAACGGGATGGTTCTCACACCCGCCATGCGTTAGACTGGGACGGTTCTCACCTCCAGCCAACGACCAGATAACGCGATGTTTCTCACTCGCACCATGCATTGAACTGGGACGGTTCTCACCCCCAGCCAGCGACCAAATAACAGGACGGTTACCACCCCCGCCACGCGTTAATGGAAAGTTGCAACGTATTTGACCCATGCTTTGGGTGTAAGTAAGAAAGATTAAACAAGGAGCGGAAAAATTCTTTAATAGTTAGAGAAATACAAGTCCATAGTTGACATACCAACCATGGCAAAAAGCGGAGAGCTAACAGTTGGAATACCAACCGTGCAAAAAAGGGAAAATCTAAATTTACAAGTTAAACTTGGCGGTCTCCTGTAGGTGCCACCTCTCATGCAGCTACCGAGGCCTGTTCAGCCACGCCAACGGCGACAACACCACCCCCACTCCCCGCATTTAGGCTAGATAAAGTCACGCCAGCAAGTCCCGTTGACAAGTCACGCCCAACCTCATCCTCAACTAGATGGCCATCACCGATTGCGTCGCCAGTAAGAGCGGCTCCTAGTGAGCCTTCATCTTCTCAGTGGCGGGACCCTCCTCAATTACCTCCACCCCGCCACCTTCAAGCCGCTCAATTATCTTGTTTCCTTCCACCTCATACTCAGGGCTGAAACCGGTTATGTCAAGCTCAGGATGCCGAACGCAGACCTGTCGGATTGCATTGTTGAACGACTCGTACATGAGGTTCGCTAGGGCTTCTTCCAATTCTTTCACCTCCTTTCACCTGCCCATGAAAGGAGGCCAATTCAACAGATAATAGGTCTTTTTCCGATTGGAGGCTCTCTTTGTCCTTTTTGGACTCGTCTAGCAATTTTGACAAGTCACCTTTTTCGGAGGTTAGGCGCTTAACCTCTTCACTCGCCTTCTTCAGCTGCGCAGCCAGAGACTTCTTAGCAGCCTTCTCGTCCCTAACCTCCATACCAAGGCGTCCAACTTCAGCGATCAGAGCATCTATCTTACGCCCCATCTCATCAAGGCGATCATCCTGAGCAGAGCAGCGGCTATCAATAGCAAGGTCGACCTCTTGGATGCCAAAGATTCGGCTAATAACCACTTGCGTGCAATTCAGGATTTCTTGGCGATTGATTCGTTCTGGAACACCATCTTAGGTCGCCCGAGGTTAGGAAAAGTGGAGTCAAGGTCCCTTTCCGATAACATGAGGGCCTACCAACTGGGATCTCAGTAGGAGGAGGAACCTCCTACGCACCCGCCGTTACCAAAATCCCCTCACCACCAGAAGCACTACTCACCATCATCCCACCGTCACCAGAGTCCTCAAGAAAGCCACCTGAGACATGGCATTCACTGTCTGTTAATTGCCTCGACTCATGTAACTCAAGGCGTGGTATCTTCAAACCCCCAGGATGGACTAAGTTTCCGTCTCCTCCCCTTTTTAGCCCTGAGCTCCCATGCCCAGGCGACACCGAACCGAAAGTCGACTCGCTCACCGACGAACCTCCCACCGCATTCACGTGATCTTTGATTATAGGGCCAGTCGCCCTCCTTTCCAACTCGCCAGCAGGAATGTCATCTGCAGATCGAATCTTCTTCCGGCGGTGGTGAACTTCTTTCTTCTTTCCTTTGTCCACATCTTGTCTCTTCGAGGCAGGGCTTGGCGCTACCTGAGGAGCCACGCCTTTAGCAGTCCTAACCTTGGCAGCCGCCTGACGAGCTAGTCTCAACGTTTCCATCGACAAACTCTTAACTGCAACATAGAAAAAACACAAGTGTTAGTAAAGACAGTTAACACTCACAACATAGCCACAACTGGTACGAATCACCACCACACCTCCATAACACCACACTTTCTTCGTAGGCCACCGATCAAGGCCTC